ATATTATTAGATATATTATTATAAAACATGCTTTAGTTAAGGAGTTATTCATACTTTAAGTGTAAAATGATGATATAAAACCTTGATAAAAATACACTTTTAAGTATCAATCACCTTCATCCAAAAATAAACTTAAAGATAGAAAGGTTGAATTAGAGAGAGAGATTTTAGAAAGGGAGGATTGAGCTCAAACCAACTTATCTAGGTTTTATAAAAGAGAGAGGAAAGGAAAAAAAAAAAAGGAAAGAATAAGAGAAAACTATACCTAAACACAAAAAAACTTAATTATTAGGAAAAAAAGGAGTTGGATTTTTAAGTCACTTAAATGTTTCATTTTGTACTAGAGAGTTCCACAAAGGAGAAAGGAGAAAAAGAAGAATAAGAAAAAACACAAGCGAAAAAAAAAAGAAGAAGAAGAAGAAACCGTAGCCTAGAGAAAGATAACCACTCATAATAACTCTTCATTTTTGGTAAGCCACAATGATAACCACTAGGCGACACCTTTTTATTACACTAAAACTACACTTGAGGAAAGTCATGATTCTTTTCTTTTTTTTTTCTTTATTTAGAGTTAAAAAAATAGTGCGAAATAATGGTTTTTATTTTTATTTTTAAATGCATGACACAAGTTAAAAATGATTTTTTTAAGCATAGATATTATTTGTTCTTTTACATATATATAATATGGTAGTCAAATATGTGAAAAATGCATGGCTACAAATTTAAAGTTATGATTTTTAGAGTTTTATTTGTATTTAATGTTGGTTTTACATGCCTCTTTTTAAGTTTGTTTGAATGTGCTTTGTTTTTTAAATAATGGTGCATGAAAAATTCTTGAATTCAAATATTACATGCTATCTTGGTTATGAATTAAAAAAAATGTTAAATGTGTTTTTGATTGCTTGGATGGTACATGAATGAATAATATGACTTAATATCTTTTATTTTTAAGATTAAATTGTTATCATGGATTTTTATTTTTATTTTTATTTTTGTTATAAATAACCAAGTCTTCATAATTATACTAAAAAATATATTCTAAATTCCAAGATTTTTGGTCAAGCCTCTCTCACAAATAAAAAAAAAAAACCCTACATCTATTAAAATTTCAAGCAAGTTTGTTAATTGACATGTTATTTAACTAACAATATAAATAAAAATATTTTTATGAGCCAACATTCCAAAACCTTTTTAAAAAACTAAGATTAGTTTA